CCCACGAAGATCCCTTGGGTGCTTCCGCCGTCAGGGCGGTTGCCGTTGCCTGCATCCACCCAAGCGTACATAGCAAGTTCCTCTCCCTCGGAGAAACCGTGGATCAACATTCTGTGCTCCTTGCGCTGCTTAACATTGGCAGTCAGTTGATTCGTCTTTATCACAGTCTCTACAGTGCTCGTCGAAACTTCAGAGAGTAGAAGAGAGACCTCGGCTGACAGATGAGGCGCGGTCTGTTGCGCCAACCAGCTCAAACTGCCAAGGGCAGCTCTCAGCTGTCCTTTCTCTCTATCGCTCGTCAGGGCCTTCCGTTCTCTCTTCCGACTGGCGTTCAGAGGAATTTCCCGTAGACCCTCCACGTACTGAGCCTGACTCAGGGCGAAACCCCCCGGAACCTTTTCCACCTTCACCCCGCATTGAATGAAGTTATTCTTTTCCCAATCCCCCCATTGGAACCGTTCCCGGATTCTCTTGAGGATTTGTTGCCATTCCGGGTCATGGTCACTACCTGCAAACAAGAAATCATCCACATGTCCTGAAATGATCCCTCTTAACTCCCCTTTAACCCTCCAGGTCCAAGTGCAGGCATCACTCCAGGTCCTCTGGAGTCCCAGGCCTTCCAGGAATTCCGATACCGACCGGTACCACTCCAGGGGAGCGTCCACCAATCCGTAGCATGCCTTCTTGAGCTTAGTGATGCTTCCTCGGGGGACCTTCATAGCATCACAGATCTCATCACAAGGGATGCAATGTAGAAGGTCAGGATAGGGCCTGCTCTGCAAGAATGCTCCACTGACATCTCCTTTAAACACTGTCCATTGTCTGTTAGATGCTTGTTGCAAGAGCATCTGCCTAGACTGCCTGGACATAACGGGAGCTGTGGTACTTCGGTGCTCGTAGGAAGGGTCCTGGAAGCCTAAAAGCACTGCTCTGGCTTTTGCCTTTCGGCTCCCGTCTTCTCGGTACTTCCAGGTAAGTATCCACCTCATGCTGATTGCACGATCTCTACTGGGCTTCTGATGATGAGGAATGCTTTCGAAGGCTTCGGAGGCTATGAAATTTTTCACCTCAACTGCTTTCGCAGCTGCAAATTCCTTCAATTCGTCTTCACTTAGAAAGCGTTCCCGAACCTCGATAGCCTTCCGCTTCATAGCACCTACCATGTAGCAACCCAGATCCTGCACGGCATGATTCCACTCCCGAGTTCTCTCAGGCATGTCTATTGCCACTTCGACGCTAGCCCCTGTGTCCTGCCAAAAAGCCATCTCCTCGGAATTCCAAGACTCGTCCCGAATCTGACTCCACCAACACTCTCCGGACTCAGAGACTCTGCGGGGTCTCTGGCGCGAGCTGGTTGCTGGTGTCTCTGTCTGATCAGGAAGCAGCTCCTCATCGGAATCCTCTGGGGGAGGCCTCGGTGCGGGCCTCTTTCCCCGAAACCTGTGTCTGGTGGGTTGTTGTTCCTCCTCGGGTTCTTGGGCGCGCCACCATTCCATCTCTGAAGGATGGTTGTCCGAAACATCCTCGTACTGGTTACCCCCAATCTGTTCAGAAACCCTTGAGAAACTCCAGGGCGTGGCGTCCTGGTCTGCCAGGGACTCCACTAGCTCCTCTCGCTGAGAGGCTCTCCTGAGTTGCTCCACGCAGCACTTGATGAGCTGTCGGCCTCGGACACACCAGACCGTAGCGCCTGGTTGTAGGGTTCCATCGGGATTCCTCTTGGTTTCCGCGGCTAGGATCCTCGCAGGGCCCATGAAGTATCCTCGCTTCGAACTGGGACCTTGTCGGTTCTTTGCAGAGTCCTGTTGCCTCCAGTAGAAGACCAATTCACCGGGCTGATAATCCATAACAGGCCTGCTACGAGAGTTAGCAGCTCTCTTAAGCCGTTGTTGGGCATTCCATTCAGCATGGGCCTTCTCGGCTTCAACCCTCCGCTGAACAGATTGCTGAAACTCAGAGTTGGGATTCTCAATCAGGAGTTCAGGAGGAATGGCAGGGGTAGCAACATCTATCCTACCAGTCTCGTCCGGAACTTGTCCCAGCACGTGTTGCACAGGTGAGAACCCCCTGATTAAGTCCCGTTGGTTGAAGGTCCGCACGGCTGTGGCCAGGGCCTCTCCTGCTGAGACCGTTTCCTCAGAAGCACACACCTTGGTCATGACGGTTTTAAGACCATGAACAGCCTGTTCGCAAGCTCCAATCTTCCAGTGGGCCTCACCAGGAACTAAATCCAAGTAGATTCCATGACGGTGACAGTAATCAGAAACCGCAACACTTCTGAAGTTACCTGCCGGGTCCAGTCGCATAGTCCGGGGATTGCCAAAGATCTGGGCCCATCCCTCTCGCAAGTAGGCAATGCAATCGGCTCCAGATGGCTGTTGTTTCACTCCCGTGGATAAAATCTTGGCAATTCTGAACCGTGACCCCTCATCAAGAATAACCATGAACTGATGGTGTTCGCCCGTCCTGGGATGTCGCCAGTG